ATCTACGACTTCATCTACAAAATAATATTAGACGTTGATATTTAACATCTATGAAAAGTTTCTTTTTCTATTTCTTTTGCTCCCTCGTATAGCTATTTTAAAGCCTTATTTACAAGAAGATACAAATAATGCATGACTGTAGCTTGATACTGTGTATCGTATAATTAGAGTTTTCGAGAAAAGTCGCGTTTTTATTGTGTTTGTATACACCTAATTGAAAAAACGTAGTCGGGTTCGAGAAGGTCCTATCATCGAAGCTAAGACCGAAAAGGATTTTGGGTACTCTGAAATGTGTATTATATTTGTATATAGACATGTAAAAATGCACAGTAGAGCAAAGTTGGTCGACCTAGATTAACAACATGCCAAAGCCATGATGCATAAAATGTGCACATGAAGGGAAAACTGCAATACGCATGAAATTAGCATAATTATTTGTCTTCTCATGCTCCCCTTCGGTCTTAGCTTTGATGATATAACCTTTTTTTGAACCTGACAACGATTTTTCAATTAAGTGTATATAAATGAGTTCAAACCATTTTACTCGGTGACGGTCATGGGTTGCTCTTTCAGTGCTAGCCTATCTTTTTCAGTGCAGCATTAGTATCTCAAAACAATGTTACTGGCTGTTACAGGGAACAGTTGATTCAAGCTACACTATAAAGAATAGCTAGGACGAAGCAAAAAGTTAGAAAACAATTACAATTTTCATTTGTACAATAAGTAAATAATAATAAGTACTAGGTATCACTCTATCTTTTGAATGCCTTTATTGTAATAGGGTAGCCCTTACGTGACCGTGTTTGCGTCGTGTTCATGTCGTGTTTCGGGCAATTGGATGGAGAGTAAATTCTCAGTAATTTTTTTTTATTTTTTTATTTTTTTGTCAACTTTCCATAGTGCTTTGTTATAGCTACGTTTGTGTGTATGAGAATATATATGAAATATATATTTGTCCTGCGGTTGTAATAGTATCAAATTGAGCTGATCCTCGCATTATATGAAGCGACTTATGCAGCTGCAAATTGAAAGACGTTTAGGTTTTATACGGCAAAATGGGTCTACGCAAATATGGCAGGTAAACGAAGTNAACAGTTGATTCAAGCTACACTATAAAGAATAGCTAGGACGAAGCAAAAAGTTAGAAAACAATTACAATTTTCATTTGTACAATAAGTAAATAATAATAAGTACTAGGTATCACTCTATCTTTTGAATGCCTTTATTGTAATAGGGTAGCCCTTACGTGACCGTGTTTGCGTCGTGTTCATGTCGTGTTTCGGGCAATTGGATGGAGAGTAAATTCTCAGTAATTTTTTTTTATTTTTTTATTTTTTTGTCAACTTTCCATAGTGCTTTGTTATAGCTACGTTTGTGTGTATGAGAATATATATGAAATATATATTTGTCCTGCGGTTGTAATAGTATCAAATTGAGCTGATCCTCGCATTATATGAAGCGACTTATGCAGCTGCAAATTGAAAGACGTTTAGGTTTTATACGGCAAAATGGGTCTACGCAAATATGGCAGGTAAACGAAGTCCTTGTTTGTTTCGTTTTGATTATTATTTATATATAATTTGATAACGGTCCTTAACAGCCAGTGGCTAACAAACGTATGGCCTTCATACCATGATCAATTTGCATTTATATTTGACGAGCAGTTAATCGCGTATAACCAAAGCAAGTAATTCCGATCCAGGAATGTCATTTTACTTCCGTACCATCACCTTGTCGTGTTTTTTAATCAATTTTGTCACAGTCACGCGGAATCTGTCCTACGTGATGATATGCTATGTCACACTCATGCGATGGAATTGTCGTAAAGTTTGTTCGCCTCAACGAGTGGAGCAGAGTTCTCTGCTGATTCATATACAGGCTTCAATGTGTAATGGTTGACTTCAAAAAGATTCTGATTAGTTGGTCTATTCAAATCTGTGGGGGAATCCAATGTGTGGTAAAACACTTCAGAGGAACCATTACTATGAGGCTCGCGCGCATAGCATTGTAGTCCATCTGATGATTCTATATTTGGGTGCTCCAGCACGTGGTAGAATACATCAGGGGTATCATAACCAACGGGCTCGAGTGCATGACATTCTTGACGTTTTATTGATCTTCTTGGAGGTGGAACTTCATTCAGTCGTGTGTAATCAACGTCTTCGTAATCGGGAGGCTCGTCACGTGACTGCGGTTGATCATCTACTGTGTTTACGGTTGACGCGTCTGTGGGAGTGTCAGTAGTCTGGTCAAGGATGATATCTCCACTGAAAACAATTGAAACAAATGTCAGTATGGTTAGCAACAAAAGGTCGGGGGAAAAGGCAATTAGTTCAGGCTCGCCATCCCGGCCAACGATTACAAACACTTTAAAAAATCTACATTACCGTTCATAGGTCATGTTCACCGCCAGACAGTCGTTATTTCTGAGTCGAAGCAAAAGAAAGAAATTTTTAGAAAAAGAGTGAATGAAGTGTCATTTTGTATTCTTTTAATTTTTTTCTTAACATGTGCTGAACACATTACAATAATCGAGACATACCTTGAATTGTTTGCCTTGTTCTTCGTATGTCTGCAGCAGGAAACGGCAAGAAAAATTAAAAAAGAAGGAAAACATTTGTAACAGAAAAGAAGAACAGTTTGAAAGTACTGCTTAATAAACGAGCAGGAGTGTTTTATCG